TAGTTGCGGAAATGCTTTCCCTCTAGCTAAGAACAGCCATGGGATCAGTCAAGGGGATTGTTCCTGTGCTTCCTCACTGAAAGGTTGACCCTGCTGGGAGTCATCAGCATGAAAACTCTCCCCAAAATCTATTGTCTTGGACACTTCTTTCTTTCTTTCTTTCTTTCTTCTTTTTTTTATGAAAAATACTTAAATAAGGGATTTATAAGCCATTTATTGCAGGTTTAGACTTTCACAGGTGGTGTGGTATGTGAAAGGACAATTTGCCCTCAACACCATCAATTTACTGCCTATGGCCAGAAAAGGTGGTAGGATCGTGGGGATGGGGAGAACTCTTTTCTGAAACCACACACATTCACACATTGAAGTTTTCACTTTGTTCTGTGTTTTGAAATTTTTTTCAGAAATTAAATTCATGAGAAATAGATTCTGGACCTCTGCTTTATTTAATAGTGTGATAAATACTTAACTGGTGGTTTCAGCTGTACCTAGTGCTAAATGGAAGCACCTCGTTTCCTAAATGGGTTATTTTAATTCAGCCATGTGCCTGGAATGGTTCATCAAACAGTAGCCTAAAATGTTTTGAGAGACATGAGACTGCAATAAGAGAGGAGTGTTAAACAATTTTTTTTTTTCCACCTTAAAATGAACAGTGATAGTGGGACCTCACCAGAGAACAAAGGATGCAACTTGAGATGTTATATTTCTATGTGATTGATTTAGCAAGCGAATATGAGAACGAACAGGAACTTGAACTCTTCTGTAGTACATGTCTTGTACGAGTGCTGTGCTCTGCTGTCCCAAGGACGGAGGTGGGTTTCTGCAGGACAGAAGTACATGATGCTGAACCAGTGCCAACTTTGCTCTGGGGTTGCACTGCCAGAGATGCCATGGGAGTGGTGCTCCATGCCTTCCCTTGTCTGTTGAGCCTGTCTCTGCGACTGGGAGCCCTTCCTCCTTCCCTAAGAAAGCTGTTGCCAAATAGGATGAATTCAAGGGAAGATCTAGAATGTTTGGCTTCCTTTTTTTAATTATATATTCTTTATATTTTTTTATGTATTAGTTACTCTTCATTATAACGTTTGTATAACATTATTATAAGGCTGTACAACTTTTCGGGGATGTAGTTAGCTTTTTTAATCGCACTGACTAAATTAATTTTGTGCCTTACTCCAGTGAATAGTGTTATTGATAGGATAAATGAAATTCAAGTACCTTGAAAGCTTTTAGGCTTTCTGCCTCAGTTCATTGGGTCGCTAAGATAATATTTTGAGTAATGAACCAACAGCATCATTTATGCTTTTGCATCTGGCACTTCTATTTTGATCATGTTTCTGTATTAGTAAAATTTCCAGCCATGAGAATCTTGTCTCTTCTACATGAAAAGTTTTTTCAGGTCTGATAATACTTTTCTCTTTTACTTCAGACTCGGTTTTCTGGAGTCACGCCAAGGTGTCACTGGGACATACAGTAGCTACAGCTTTCGAATCTGTCGTCTGGGGATTTTTTTGTGGTTTCTTTCATTGGTTTTGTTTCGTGTGTGTTGTTTTTTTGGTTTTGTTTTGTTTTTGTAATACAAGAGTTATGTGGAGCTGCAGTTGTTGTCACTTAGCATTAAAATTCTACAGAAGACTGGGAACCTCCATCGGCCATTCAGTTGTAGGGTTTTTCCTTGTACTGTTAAAGAGCTGATGGCCTGTATGTGTTCTTAATAGGGGAGCAGTCTTTTTCAAAAACCTCTTTAACCAGAAACAGTGTAAGAAAATGTTTTCTTCTGACTTGACTATGTAATTCTCTGAAGCTTGTGGCATATATCATCAGAGTGTTATTGTGATTTCATTTCAGAAAGTAAATTTTGATTTTTTTCTTTAGTTCTATGGTTGGGACTACTTACCAAGCTAACGCACTATCTGGGAGAAGTAGCATGTTTGGAGGACACCTATACCTGCTGACAGGCTTGTGCAGCAATAGCCTTCCTCTTCCCTTACAGATCACTGCTGTTTTCTTAGCAATTGTATGTTGGGTGTGTAAAGTATGGGAGGGTTAGCTTTTTTTTCTACTGATGATTCGTCAGCGGTGGTGTAAACAAACTAGGATATTTTAATAACGATGGTTGGTTTTTACAAAAATTCTTTTTTCCCCGATTGCTTTTTGTTACCTTTTTTATGGTAAAGCAGAAGCTAAGTTGGTCCGTAAATAATCTGTATGAATAGTGTCTTACATGTGTTTCTGATTAATTAGGATTCCATTTTGTAGATGTCATATAACATTGATAAGTATTTAGAGGTTGGTGAAGTATGAAGCTGCCACTTATCTCCAGAGATCTGGTTTTGTCATAATTGAATGGTTACCAGCTTAAGTGTTTTCTCCTTGTTGTTAGCTCTGCAAAGGCCATATTGCCAAATGAGCAAACTTGCTCCTGTGAGCGATCATAGCAAGTGTGTGGTGAGAAGTCAGTTCTGCTAAGCCTGTGCAAATGCAATGCAGGTAGTAAGCTTGCATGGTTACTGCGAGAGTCCTGGCCAGCTTGCAATAGTCTTGCGGCAATGACAGGTGAACTACAAAGCCTCTAATCTGATTCTGGTTGCAAGACAATAGAAATTAATAGGAAAAAGTGTATTCACTCTGTTATAACTGAGACAGCTTGGCTCAAAAAGTACTTAAAGTTTTGTACCCCGTTTTGAGAGCAGACTCTTGTTTTGAAGTCCACTAAATAGCTACTGCTCACACCCGTACATCTCAGGCATGTTTTGGATTGTATTTTCCATCTTTTCGTAGCTACTGTGGAAGGGAGAAGACAGAGTGCTTGGCTCAGGGTTTTTTGTGAGTTAGTACAGAGCCTGCTGGCCTCAGCTCATTCCACGCAGCCTTCTTCTCCGTCTCTCCTGTGCAGACTTAGCCACTGCACCTATTGCAAGTGGTGTTGCTTTAGAGAGATCCTTAAATTGTTGCTTGAAACTGAATTACCTCACACAGTATGGTTTGCTCATGGTTCATTAAGGGATTGAGCAAAGAAAGGGGACTGAGGCTGAAAGTGCTTTGAAATGAATCCTGCATAGGTATTCAACACTCAGGAATGTTGGGCAGCAAGCATGGTAATGGTCTGAGTCTGCTTGCAAGCACATCTGAAAATTTTGCATGGCACGCTGGCAACCAAGAAGAATATTCATCTGTATGTAGATGTTTGCCTGCTTTACAGCAGTGCTGAGACTTCATTAGTGTTTGTAGAATGAGTTTAATAGAAGTACAAACAAACTGTTATGAGAAGGGAAGTTCTTTCTGTGTTTTGACAGGAGATGAAGAATTTATAATTGCGTGGAAGGTGAAAAATGTACCTTCACAGATACCTAGGATATCTTTTTAAGGAATTATTCCCTTAGTTAATTTTTGCTGATGCACAAACATCTGTTTTGTATGTCTATTCATACAGTGACTTCATGCTGCAGTTACTACTTCAGAACATGTGGAATAGTCATCTTGCGTATACCAGCCGTAATAGGTACATTCAGTTGTTATTACGTGCATAAAAAACGGGATAATCGTAAACGTCATTGGGAATGTCCCTGGAAAATATTACGCAATTTTCTGTAAAGTAAATACAGGTGGGTTACATGTGCAAGAACTTTGAAAAATGTCTTGACATGAATTTTCTAGTTCCTGTTTCTAGGAATTTCTTAGATCAATTCTTTTTTACATTTCCTGGGAGATGAGGGCAAAAGTGAACTCGTGGTGGGAAGAGTAGTTTATATTGAGTGATTTTTTTCTGGCTTCTTCAGAAGCATCAATGTCTTTTGGAAGACATAGTATATACTGTGTAGCTAAATTAAGTAAATTTAATAGAGATAGGCATGGTTTCTGATTAAGAAAATTTGGAGACTGTTTTGTTCCAGAGAGAGCTGTGGGCTGCTGAGTCAGGGGAGAGCCTTGTGCCTTTGTCTTCTCATCCTTCCAAGTTCAGTGCAAAATCCCGGTTCTAGGGTGGACGATGTGCTAGCATGTATTTACAGAATCACAAATCCTCTTACTACTGTTTGAATGACTAAGATATCTTAAAGAAATTTAACACTTCCAGATTCTAAATGTTACTTACGAAAACTGCCATGGAGTCCATATGAATGTTGTGGTTTGTTGGTTTGGGGTTTTTTGGGGGTTTTTTATTTGTTTGGGTTTTTTTAATCTAACTTCCATGTTTAACATTTCCAACATACTCCAGTCCTCTTTCTCTTACATACTTTTCTCAGAATTAGCTGTTCTTTTCCGTGTTACTTTATTTTTTGGGTGGAGGAAGGTTTATATTTTTTGCTTTGTCTCTGAAGATTCAGTGTATTGTGGGAGGTGAGGCAACACTGGTCTTGGCAGAACACCACAAAACCAAGAGAGTAATTAAATGACGCAAGCCTTTGATTATTTTTCTCTCTTAAGCTTTCTGGCACAGCCAGGCATTCCGATTGCAAAAGGAGGATCAGGAGAAGAAACTTCTAAAGATCGCACGCAGAATTAGAAGAACTGTATTGGAGACTTTTGCTGCTTTAAAGCTCTTCGCTCTCAAGTCCTGGAGTTGCTTCTTTTTACCCTGTGAGGATAACGTCTCTTTCATCACCCAAGATAAACGTAACTGAAAGGGAGCTGCCAAGGTTTTATTTTGCTTTTGGTTTTTCTGCTCTCTTACTAATTGGATTTTTCCTATTTTCTGCAGGAGGATTATAAAAGGATTAGAGAAGCTGGGTTTTTTTTGGGGTGTGGGAGGTAGCTGTTGTTTTTCTCCTCTTGATTCTGGGACCTCCTTAAGTTGCCATTTGTTCTCTGAAGTCACTGCCCGTTTGGAAAAGGGAGAAGCAGCATAACAGATGAACTTGCACGACCATGGATTCCTTCCCTTTGCAAACTTTGTATGTGGCTGCTTGTAAAAGAGGCTTTTGCATACATAAGCATCAAATGAAGAATAGCATTCTGGGCTGGATTTAAAAGCAGCAAACTACTTGTGTCCTGTGAAAGGATAAATTCTATTGAAAGTATAATTTAAAGAAGATTTGATGTTGTTCCAGTTTTGAATTTTGGTGAAAGAAAGGAAGGGTCTGATCAAGTCCAATACCCTACCAGCCTTAACCTGCATGTTCTACAGCTGAAACTGGAAGATGTCTTGGAAAAGAAATTACTTTTCTGTGGGTCGGGGGAATGTACAGGGCATGTTTACTCCACGAAATACAACCTCAATAGCACCCAGTAAAGGTCTCAGCAATGAACCGGGACAGAACAGTTGCTTCCTGAATAGTGCGCTACAGGTAAGAGCACATAATTAAAAAATGTTTCTGTCTTTGTCCTCTGTCTGTTGCAGTGTTTTCTTAGGCTCAACTGTGCAACAAATACAGCCAGGTTTGACTACATAATTGTTTGTGGGCCTAGATAGAATAAAGCTATGTTTGGAAATGCAGATTAGTTGAGTTATAGAATAGCTTTTTTTTTAATTTTTCAGGTTTTCCTGGTGAAATCAGCAGCATTCACATAGTCATTCTGAATGTGTACCTGAATCTCTTGTTTGTGTAAATTTGTAATATGTCAACCAAAGATGAAAATATATATAGAAAATCTCTCTTAAAATAATAGAATATTGCATAATTTGCAGTATGTCTACTCCTTAACAGTAAACTTTATTTTGTTGAACCAGTCAAGTTCAAGGGTTGATAATACCTATAGAAGATCCTTTTTATGTAGTCCAGTTTTCTTTCTAATTGCTGATTTGTAGCTTAGTTTAGATGATTGTCTTTACCATTTGATTTAGAAGAATAACCTTCTGTGTCAAAATTTAGTGGAGTGGTATGGCTTCTATACTGGTATTGTCACCGTTTTCGTATTTTGAACATCTGATGTTTGAGATTCAGTCCTTCTCGCTGCAAGGTTTAAAACCCTTTCTCCACATCAGTATCCTTCCCTTCATATGACTTGTCTGTGTAGCACAGACTGTGTCACTGTGGGTTTTTTGTTGTTTTTTTTCCTCCAGGCTTAAAGATACCCCGTGATACAAATACTACAAATAGAAACACCAGTGACCCTCAATAGACTTAATATGCTGTAAAATAGATTACTTGAGTACAAAGGGAACTCACTATAAGAAATGTGTGGTTTCTAGTGATGTACTGTATTAGTTGCTCCTGTTAAGTTCTAAGGTGTAATCGCTGGCTGCCTCCTAATTTGAGTTACTGCACCTAGGTCAGAACTAAGTAGAGCTTAACATCAGCTGCGTGCTGTACATGAAGATGAAAGCCTACGACCTGTCCTTTAGTCTTCTACATAAACCATTTTCTTCTAAAACTCAGGAAAGATGGGATACCAAAAAATTCACTCAAAGCTGAATTTAAAAAAAAACAAACAAAAAACCAAAACAAAACAACAAGATAGTAACCATTTCATATATTTCTGGGATTTTTTAATCATAATTTCTTAACATTCAGTGTTAGTCTGAGAGGCTCTTGAATGTTTGTTGCTCCTTACTATTAAGTATTTCTGTAAACATTCAAGATAAACTCCAAAGGCAATTACATCGAAAAATTGGACTTGTTCCTACATGTATTATATTTTTTTGTCCTTTTGTGAAGTCTGCAGTAGTTCTTCAGGAATGTTGTGTGTAATCAGACAATTCCAAGGCTTGTGTTGCCTCCTAGGCCCTTAAGTATAGGGAGAGTTTGAGTATAGACATAGCCATGAAAATTCTGAAGTTTTGGAAAACTTTAGAGATTAAATATTCAATATTTTTCAATATTTTTAGTATAGTTTTAGGCAACACTTGTGTGCTATGGTTTAGTTAACAAATTGTTCCAGCTGAAAACACTTCTTGAAACCAGCACAATTTTTTTGAGTGCGAAATTTTTTCTAGCCAGTTGCTCTGGACAGATTAGTTGGAAATCAGAAGTTTGATCCCTCTGTTTGTGCTAATGAAACATGTTTCCAGTCACATGTCAGCCTGAACCTTGACGCTCTGTCCAGAACCTGGCAGGGCGCGATTTAGGTCAGGGCTTCTTTCAGTGCAAGCTTCTGCCTCCTGAAAGGCTGGTGGCTCTGAGGCTGACAAGAAAGTCCGATTATTGTTAGTTGAAGCTGAAATAGCCAGCACTGACCACATTCTTATGTAAAGAGCTGACTGTGAAACATCTCAGATGGGCATTGTTGCTATTTTATAGCTGTGAATATTGATAATTGCCCAAGATTGCACAGATTTAGTGATAAAACTTAAGAATAAAACTTGATGCTGTTACAGCAAATGTTGCTTCTCGCTGTTGGTAGCAGAACGTATAGAAAAGCCTGCTTGCTTTTATATGCTGTGACCATACCTGGTCACATACCTGGTATTACCACCATACCGGTCCTGAAAGAAAAAGTATAACTGCCTATACAGGTTAGGGTTAGAAATCTGACAGTAATCATGGCATGTAAATACACTTACTAATGATAATATCGGGCATAACGGCTTTTTGTAATTTATCCTTTTGACTTGCAAGAACTACTTGATGTATATGCTGTTGGTGCTCTATTTTTCCAGCACTGGGGCTTTCTGTTCAGAGCAAGGAGGCTGCCTAGGAGGTGGAAGGATGGATGAGCTTCGGCCCCAGCTGTTGGTGATGTGTCCTTAGCAGCTCTGCCCAGCCTCACGGTGCAGCTGCACAACAGCTGGCCATGTTGCCAGCACAGGGGAAGAGTCAGGGCAAGTGCTGTTTAAGATGGACAAAGCAGTGAGTTTTTTACTCTGAAAGCACATGGCAAGAAATTCAGAGGGATGTCCTACTGTAAATTAATGTATGTGAATGCTACAGCTGAGGAAGAAAGATGAAAGTGTCAACTTGCAGTTAGAGAAAAGACATCCCATTTTAAAAGTGATGTTCACTGATATTAATGTACTTTCAGAATTATTTAGCGTGTGCAATTTTAATCAGAGCTTTATGCAGTATTTTATTTTATATATTCATAGAATTGGCTGTGTCCCTCTGTTTTTCAGGTTCTCTGGCACCTGGACATTTTTCGCCGCAGTTTCCGGCAAATCACGACACACAAATGTATGGGTGATTCTTGCATCTTCTGTGCTCTTAAGGTAAAAGTGGGAAATAAATTAAAAACAATTATTAAAAAAAATTGAACAGAAATATTCCTGATATTTAATTAATATGTTATCAGAGTTGCATCTGGAAATTTGCGAGAGCAAAGACAAATCTAATAGATACTGGTCCCAGACACTCATAGTAGCATGTTTAAAATGCATTCAAGCCAATAAATTGTGAAAATCCTGTAAGTAAAGTTTCACATTCAAAGGCTCTTACCAATGGAGCGTGGATCATTGTGAGCCTCCATGTTTTTTGAAAGATTGGTTCAACCAGTAAAACATTAGCCTGCTTTGTTTTTTTTCTAATTTATCATTTGGTTTAAAATTTCACACTGTATATTGTTAGTATGCTCTTCAAAAGTTGCCCTTCCTTTAGAGCTACTTTAAACGTCAGCATGACTGTTTAGCTTTAAGCCTTTCTGGTCAAAACTGTTGATTATGTAAGACTAAAAGGTATTTTCTACTGTAAATATTGATGTCTGCATTAAATGGCTTAGCTCTTTGTGGTCTGTGTTTTAAAAAGCATTGATTCTGTTTGTAAATGCAGATACAATAACTGACTGTCATGGATGCTGCCTGGACAGTAAGATCTAGATGTTAGCTCTGATTCTGAGTACTGTCGTGTACTTGAGTAACTGTGCAATCCTACAGCTCCATTTGTCTCTACTCATTTGTTTTTAGCTCTTCTGGTTTTTTGTGCCCTCCTTTCTAAGCTTTGCTACTTCAGACCTGTGGCTCCCTCCAACCTTGTGGGAGAAATGGATGTGATGTGAACATGATGAAAATACTAGCTTTAATCTTGCTTAGCAGTGATTTTTCTTTCTGAAATTGAGACTAAGATGTTTTCTTTGATCACAAACGGGTTGTAAAAGCCAACCAAATATATAAATTAATGGTGGGAGAATTTATTGTGTCATGAATTCATTGTGCAGTAATGAAAAGGACAGACAGCATGTCTTACACATGGCAAAATAGAGAGTGCAAGGTTTAAATTAAGATATCTGAAGTTCACAGACAGTATTTATAATATAATAGCTGTTTTGCTACTGTTAAGTGACTTTACAGGTGCTCTGGTAGAGTCAGGCTTGAAATGAGTTATCTAGTGAGTTTTTTGGACTGTTGTTGAGGGGTTTTCCCTTACAAAAGAACAACAAAGAGGAAGACTATTAAGGCACGAAAGAAAAGTAATTTCCTTCTGAAGGGAAATTTGTCTCAAGACATACCTGTTTAAATGATGATACAGGATGATATTTACAACAGTATCATCAGAAGAGGATATAACAGTGGATTAGCAGCAAGGTAGCACATCCAAAGTGAGAAATACAGCTATCCAGACGAAGAAAAGAGTATTAAATATATCCCCTTCTTTAAAGGGAAGTGGCAAGACTTAGGCATGATCTGGTTAGAGTTCATTAAGTACAGTGGGATAAATAATTTGAAGCAAATTCTTGGATCATGCCCTCAAGTATTGCCAAGTGATTGCTAGGATTCTTTGGTAGTTGAGATGAGGACAGAAAGAAAAGGATTTAGGAAATTATCATGGATGTAAGCTTTTGCTCTTCTGGGGTTTAACCTAACAGCAAGATATGGCAAGGAAATACCAGGAGATAGACAGGTTCTGCCATTTGAATGAATGTAGACTAGACTCTGGGGCAGAGTTGAGAGGTTTTAATATAAAGTTAAGAGGTAAAAGTCTTTTTCTG